AATATGGTTGTATAATTTATATGTAGGTTAGGACGGTGCCTCCGGCACCGAATGTGGCATCCACCGTTGGGTCTTTCGGGATTCGACGGCGGGTGTTACATGAACTTTTAAATTTGATGTCTGAACTTTTAAAAATTTCTACGTGACTTGTTGAAAACATAAATAGAACACGTGAGACCACTGAATATTCAAAAAAAAAGCTGAATAGGTAGACATGGCCACGGTTCCGGTTCCAGAAAAGCTGGAACCGGAACCGAACCGAAATTGTCCGGTTCCGGTTTCGGTTCCGAACCGTCCGGTTCCGGTTCCGGTTCCGATCCAATTACAAAACCGACAGTTCCGATTGGTTTTCCGGCGAATCGCATAATTTTAAATTTTAAATTTTGGATACCGGTTTAAAAAAAAAATTTATGTGAACATAAAAAATAACAAAAAAAATTTATGTGAAACATTCTAAAAAATTTGAGAAAAATACAAGTTTTAAAAAATATTTAAAATATGCAAGGAGCCCGGTTAAAAAAAATTATTTGAACATAAAAATTTAAAAATACACCTAAAAAATTAAATTTTGGAAAGAATCCGGTTTAACAAAAAAATTTTTGAAAATAAAAATTAAAAAAATACACCCTAAAAAATTAAAATACTTTAATTAAATTTATTTTTTTTCAAAGACATTGAATTGGCGAGTGTTGAACTAATGCAATTTTTTTTTATAAAAAAACATTATTGAACTGAATTTTTTCTTTTAAGTTTGAAACAAAAAATTTTTAAAAAAAAATATGGGCCTTTGAACTTAAATAAAAAAAAAATTTAAATTGCCTAACGTAATTTCCTCTGGCGGCTTGTAAGAGGAATCCAAAGCCCACGTAGTTCTTCACTTACCTTATATCAGATTTCATCCCCTCTTTACTCTTAATCGCTATCCTTGCCACCACCGGTTGATGGTTCCTCGTTTGAGGACCATCGTATAAATTAAAATAAATCTCATTTTATCTTTTGGCATTTTTCTTGGGCTTTTAGTTCGGCTTGTCCAATCATCCACGCACGCTCTGTCTTTCTAATGAACTTCCGGGTGTCATACGAGATCCGTATGTGTTCATTCAAATCATGTTACCTTCCTTGAACTAAAGGCCTTTGTCTTCTCAACCGCAAAAACACGTGGAGACCGGAGCTGCTAAAATTTGTTTTGCAAGTAAAAAAAAGAATTTGGACAAAGATTTGCTGGACCGACTCCACTAGAATCTAAAATTGAAAATCTGCATATGCATAATTAATCACCAAAACTCAAAAGAAGTCTGTCTAGGATAATTGTCAAACTTCAGACATAGGAACTGGATTTCCTTGTTCCTTTATTTGTCTTTGCCCAATAAAACTTGGTTGAGCAACAATCACACACTTCCACTCTACCCCTTTGTGTTGAAAAATTGCTGGAATATTAGATTGGAGAAGAAAGTAGAAATGGAAGTAGATGAACTAGAAACTTGAACAAATTCATTATATAATTGCATAATATTTTGTTTAACTTCATGCATTACTACATTTATATTAACATTATCTTCTACTACATTTATATTAACATTATCTTCTACATCAAGATTCAATACTTCATAATAAATAGTCAAATAATCACATAAAACATCCATTCTACATCTAGGATCAAATATAATAGCAACAAGATAAAGGGGTGCTATATTTTTAAAATAAGATAACCATTTTTTTTTCATTGAAAAAATACAATCTTTTAATAAATCATCATTTTGAAATTCTTGGAGTGCATTAACAATATTAATACACAGGTAAAAATAAATGAGATGTGGGATAATAAACCCCACTAAATTTATAGGTAGCATCATTAAAAATTTTTAAAATATCTAAAATTTTTGTACAAATTTTTTGCACAAATCTCCCAATTTTGTGGATATAAGTTAATATCCTCAATATTATTAGTAACAAAAAAACATAATAATTCTTTATAAGAAAAAGACTAGTTTAGTAATTTATATGTTGAATTCCAACGAGTTGGGACATCCCTTGGAAAACGTTTTGGTCTTTTATTATTTTCTTTACAAAATTTAGCCCAACTTTTCATCACTTGGGATGGTCCATAAAATATTGAAAAATAGCTTTTTTAATTGGAGAAATAAAAAGAATCCACCCTCAAGAATTTTAAACTATCTTTGTACACATAAATTTAAAACATGGCATTGCACATCTTATATTGAAAAAATGGTACCACCAATATTTGTTCAACAAAATTTTTTTTAAGTTCAATAATTGGATCTAGTATTTGCAGAAGAAGCATTATCAAATGAAATAGAAAAAATTTTTTTTTTGTCAACACCTATATTCATCTAAAAATTGAAACAAGTTACTCTATTAAATATTATTGCAGTTGTTATCATCAAAAAAACACGAAAACCATAATTCTTTTTTTGATTTTTCCAATTCATCAGTCAATCCAATGACAGGTAAACCCATATAAGAATGCATTTGCCCAATGATCACTTCAACATCACAACAATTGAAAAACGAAATTTTCAATTGAGAAAATAAAAGTTCTAACTCTTTTTTCCTTTGTTATAAAGAAATAATAGTGCGTTTTACAGTAATTTCTTGGTTCACTCTTTTAGCACAAGGATTTTAAAGCTTTTTGACCCAATAATTATTAAAAACCTAATTTTCAACCAAAACTAAAAATAAATGTTCATAGAAATCATTAATCATTTTTGCTAATTCTTCTTTTTATATTTTTTCAGAATATTTAAATAAAGAAAGGTTAGAAGCGTACCCGGAAATTTGTTGTTGAGACCGATCAACTACTATTTTTGTTGGATGTTTTGCCTCCAAATGCTTCCAAAATGATCCATAGCCGTCCGCTTATTTAAATTTATAAGATTTTCCACAATAATTGCAAATAATTGCAAATTATATCGTACATTTTCTCACCTTTGAATTTTTTTGTGAAATGAATGGAGAATATGTCGGAACTTTATCTTGCTCTTGTAACAATTTTTGCTCGTAGCTCTTGCTCTTGCTCTTCATCTTCTTAAAATTGCTCATTAAATTCGGATTCTTGAGTTGGAATATCCAAATTTTCATTTGGAAAACCCTCAAAATTACATTGGTCGGGAATCATATCATAGATGTCGTTTGTAGGGATAGATGATAAACCTACTTTTTCACCAAAACTAAAAGATAAATGTTCCATAGAAATCATTTTTGCTAATTCTTCTTTTTGTATTTTTTCAGAATATATAAATAAAGAAGGTTAGAAGCGTACCCGAAAATTTGCATGGTAAGAATATAGAGTAGAGTAGAGAAGAATAAATGATTAATATAGAGTAGAGTGTAGTATATGGTAGAGAGAGTAAGTAGAGAGTGTAGTATATTGTAGAGAGAGTTGAGATGTTTTTGTAATGAATTTGTAAATAAAATGAGGTATTTATAATAAATCCAAAAATTCATTTTTCTAAAAATACCCTTGAAACTAGCCGTTATGTAGCCGTTTTTTTCAAAAATACCCTTAAAACTAGCCGTTATATAGCCGTTTATTAGGCTGGTGGAGCGGTAATTAAGACATTTTCACCAACCAAAAAAAATATTTCAAAAAAATCTGACAGTTTACAACGGCTAGACCGCCGGTTTCGAACCGTTTCGAACCGGCGCGTTCTATTGGGAGGGGTAATTAAGACATTTCACAACCAAAAAAAAAATATTCAAAAATCTGACAGTTACAACGGCTAGAACCGCCGGTTCGAACCGTTTCGAACCGGCGGTTCTAACCGGCCGGAGAACCGGCGGTTTCAGTCCGGTTCCGACTGGTTCTCTGGAACCGCCGGTTCTGGTTCCTCATTTGCAGGAACCGGAACCGAACCGGATTTTTCTGGTTCCGGTTCCGGTTCGTCCCGGTTCCGATTCTCATCGGTTCCGGTTACGGTTCCGGACCGGTTCGAACCGACAGTTCCGGGAACCGGAACCGTAATTTGGCCACGCCTATGAATAGGACCTGAGTGGCTTGCCATGTCGGTTTTTACACGTAAAACAAGTGATGGGTGAAAACTGGAGGATAAAATTGCCGTTAGTAAAACAGACGACTAACCGTACCCAACAGGACCAATGGACCCAATCTTCACTACCCCTGAGTCGTCGGATAAAACCCTAGGCCACAAAGCCTACGTGATCTTCCAATCGCTTCGTCTCTCCTGCTCCTTCTGATCGTTTTGTTTTTCCTTATAGCTCTTTCGTTTTTCTCCTTTCTCGGCTAGAACCGCTTCTGAGACCCGACCTGGTTTGCCTGAGACATGAGGGTTAAGTCCATTTATGTTGGATTTGAAAGCACGACGTCGTTTAACGCCCTTGCGCTTGCAACCAGTGTCATGTAGTGGCGAGGGATTCTTCATGTTTGGTCCCATTGAGCGCGGAGCACTATCCGGTCCACTTGACGTCAACTCCGAGATCGACAATATACACTTCTCCCCACCGCTTGATGGTATTTATGTGAAAAAGAAGTGCAGGAAGTGAATTTCTGTTATCAAGTAGGCCATGTATAGGAACTTATCGAAAAAGAAACGGCCGTTGGTGGTGCCAATACTGAATTTCGTGAACCGAAAGGAAAATTCGGGAACTAGACAGGGAGAACAGAGATGAGAGTCATTTGCAGTGGGCATTAGGAAAAGCGGGGAGAGGAACAGGTCCATGTGGTTGTATCGGAGGAGCAAGGGTGGTTGTTTGTTGGGATTGATAATGGGCCCTGAAGAATTTCAAGGATTATTTTTAGACTTTAAAGAGGCTAAATAGATGAGTAGAACATGTGGCCTTCTTGATACGTAGGATCTTTTATTTGACATGTCAAAACTGACATGGCTGGCCATTTCAGATCCAACTCAGCTATTTTTGAACATTTAGTGGTCCCGCACATCCTACTTGTGTTTCTAGAAATCCATATAAGCTGAAGATAGCTAATTAAAAATAATTTAGGAGTTGAGATACATATTTGACTGTAAAGGTTTTCGTTGAGATACTCAAATAGAAAGTTTTAAACAGTCGATACATCAAATTTATAATTAACCCTTGGTCCCAATAAAATCACCAAAAATTCCACCTTTCCTTTCTAAAACCTTTTAACCTAGCTCTCTGTTCGATTCATGGCCATGGCCACCGCCACTGAAGCAGAAAAACCGATGGACAACGGTTGTGCGAATCCCCAAGACTGTACAGATTGCCCAGAACCAAACCTGCAAACCGTCGCTGTCAGTACAACAGGAACGGCCCGAGAAGAAAGTACGGAAACCGACCCATTGACGCAAAACTGTGTGCCCGAGTCTAATTCTGCACCTAATCCCGCCACTACGACAACAAGGTGGCCGGGATGGCCAGGAGATTGCGTATTCAGGTTGATAGTACCAGTGCTGAAGGTCGGCAGTATCATTGGGCGCAAGGGTGACATCATAAAGAAAATGTGCGACGAAACTCATGCTCGCATCCGCGTTCTTGAAGCCCCTAACGGCACTTCAGATCGCATTGTACGTTTCTTTTCATTTTAGCATTGCTTTGTTTAGGTTTGAATTTGCTCGTTGCTTTAGCTTCATATCTATGGCTTTGTAGCCTATCTGTTTAGTGTAGCATTAGTTTTATTTTGCTTTTTTTATTTTCTTGTTCTTTTATGATTTAGTTGCTTGGACAAAAAAAATTAGTATGCACCAGGGAGACCTTGAAGATAAGGAGAGCAAAAGCTCAGGGGTAGAAATTGATATAAGAGGGGATTCTTTATTCATTTGAAATTAGTGTTTTTGATTGAATTAGACAAGGGAATTTAAGTTTTGATCTTTTTGTTCTGTCATTTATTCTCTTGTGAACTAATCTTGTTATCGTACCTGAATTAGAGTCTGCATGTTAGTTTCCTACCGTATGATTTTCCCATTTTTCTTACAGGTGTTGATATCTGGAAAGGAAGAGCCAGAGGCACCTCTATCCCCGGCAATGGATGCTGCAATAAGAGTGTTTAAACGCGTTACTGGATTACCTGATGGTGATGCTAAAGCATTTGGAGCAGCTGGTGTTGCATTTTGCTCTATTCGGTTATTGGTAGCATCCACACAGGCCATTAATTTGATTGGAAAGCAGGGCTCATTAATCAAGTCAATACAAGAGACTTCTGGTGCATCTGTTCGGGTATTATCAGAAGGTATGCTCTGGACTTCTATTATATACTGTAACACAACCTTTTTATATTACACTGGTCAGTAAAATCTTAAATTGTTGCCAATTTCCTGTGCATTATCTGTACTTTTCTCCCTCTTGAGCTTGATTCATTTTCTATATCACATACTGTTTTTGTTAAGTGTTCTGATAGAATATTGGAACATAATAGAGATTTTGACCTTCTACCGGCCTATATTTATTGTTGTGCTGGCAAATGTGTCTGAGATATCTTTAGTACTTCCCGGTGGCTTTGCATTTGCTTTTAATCTAGCTGACTTTGTTTGTCATAGGGGTGATTATTCAATGTAACTAATGCACTAGGACATATTACAGATTTTCACTTGCAAGTCACAAATACATCAGACCACCTGAAGTTGTGAAGGGACTATTGTGTAATTTCTCCTGTTCTCTAGGTATCTTGTTCCAGCCACCCTGACTAGCGTAGCTGAAATTGAAAAATACCATTCTCCCTAAGCTTAAGTTTAATTTTTCTTTATTGATATATAAATATGTTCAAATTAAATTTCACTACACCAGTCAGATTCCTTTTTTGAAATACATCTCCAAGTATGTTACCCCATGAAACAAAAATGACCATAACTTTTACTGCGAAACACTTGCAAAATATACCTTTAAGTAAGGGTATAAAACAATTTGTTTTGTAAATCCTGAACTTCTTTTAGATCAGTAATAAAATGATCTCTTGTTATTGTGATAAAAATTTAACTGTACTTATGCTTATCTACCTGTCCATTATCAAAGACAGCTGATATTTAATTTCATTCTTTTGATTTTCCTGTACATTTTTTTGGGGAGTTGAACCGGAAATCTGAAACTCGTCATACATATTTGTATCAGGAAATGCTAGTTCATCTGCTGATATAGATGAACTTAAATTTCTCTGTGGTTCACATCTACTTTTCTGCATAGATGAATGTAGACGTGCCTAGCTTTTTGTGCATGTATATATATATGTCCTAAGGCTTGTATGACAGTGTGTTTAGATCAACTTTCCCAATCAGCTGGTGAACAATTTTTTTTTTCTCGCAAATCTCTGGTTGTAGGATTCAGGCAAAGCAACAAATTGTTTCTTTCCAAAAGATTGGGTTTTTGAGAGGTTGTACATTGCAAACATGTATTGCAAAAAGTATCCAGAGTACAGACCTAGATGATGTATCATAGTAACACCATAGTTGATAAAGGGAGCAGCTCCTTCCCAGATCCAGAACACTGTTGCTGACCTCTGCACCACCAGCATGCTATTGTTACTGATGGGGACATGGTTTTCCTTTGCTTAATGATTTTTCCCTCATATGTAAAGGTAATGTTGAGATCAAGAATAAAATTCTGAGGAACATATCCTTTGAGGAAGAAAAGGTGGGAGGAAGTTTGCTGAAAGCAATGGTTACAAAAAGAATTCAAATTCTGGGAAGGTTGTAGTAATTTGTTGTGTCTAGTTTTAGGTTCTCATAACCATTCAGGGTTTGGTAGCTCCAGAAATTTGGAGAAGTTGCATTTATATGAATAAGCTTTGCTTGCTTGGTCATGAATCCTTATTGCTTATTATTGGTTTTTAATGCTACCATGAGATAGTCAATGCTATCTTTGTCTCCAAATATGGCTTTCCTAATTTTGGTTGCCTAATCGCTTACTTTTTGTGTTGAACATTATTTATTTTTTCTAATCCCTGGATAATGCAACTGAGACTAAAATTCTTGATTGGCAGATGAAGCGCCCTTTTATGTTGCTGCAGATGAGAGAATTGTGGAGTTGCAGGGAGAAGCCATGAAGGCTCTTAAGGCTTTAGAGGCAATAGTGGGTCATTTGAGGAAGTTTTTGGTTGATCATAGTGTCATTCCTTTGTTTGAAAAGAATGTAAGTCTAATTTTTCAGTGATTACAAAACTATAGACTCTACACTGCAGTGCACTAATTGGGGCTACTCCATTTATATAGTATAATGCAATGATCTCACAAGACCATCAAACGGAAACATGGAGTGACAAGCCATTGGTGCATTCTACTTCTCAAGGTGGGTTTGATACTGATTATGCTTTCTCAGGAAAGAGGGAGGCTTTATTCTTAGAACGAGAAACCCAATTGGATTCACAGATCACACAGTCAAGAATTACACTTTATGGACAAGATCCTGCAGTTTCAACGATTCGTTCTTCTGTATTTAATCGTGCCAGTGGTCCCATCTTCACTCAGGTTGGTGGTTTTAATTTTTGCCCTTGAAGTTTTATCTCTTCATCAAAGTTTGTGTTTGTGCCTGTAGTCTTAAGTTGGTGGTTGAATTGTTCTCTACATATGGCTGAAGAAATTTGTTATGGCGCTACTATACGTGGGGTAGTTTAACTGCTGTACTTAAGATAGTTTTATTTAGTTATTCAGTTTTTATCATGTTATTATTAGTTTTTTTGTTAGTGGGTATCAGTGGATTGGTTAAGCAGGTTATTTAGTTATTTTAAGTTTAGTTATTCAGTTTTTATCATGTTATTATTAGTTTTTTTGTTAGTGGGTATCAGTGGATTGGTTAAGCAGGTTATTTAGTTATTTTAAGTAGTAATAATTTTGGAAAGTTGGGAAAATTGAAACAATCTAGAACTGTTGAAGAGCCAAAAGTTTTCCAGCAACCATTTCAAGTCTTAATAGTTATGTGTCTAGAAGACAAGGCAGAGCAAAAGAAGGAAATAATCAAACAAAAGCAACTGTTAGCACAACTAGAGGGTCTTGCTTGTGATTTGGGAGCCTCTAGATGGGAAGAGATTGAGAAGAAGCAATGTGAGAATGACGTAGAGGAAACATTAGAGGAGCCATTTGATCCAGGAATTTTAATTAAATATAGAAGCGCAATAAACACAGCTCCTTATTTGCAGCAATAATAGAGGATGACAAGGATTTTATTTGCATCATATTTTTACAAGTTGAAGATTACATGCCATCCGTCCTATGCGCTTGAGGACAAGCACCTTTCAATGGGGCATATAATGTTATGGAGCTACTATACGTATTGCAGTTTTACTACTGTACTTAAGATATTTTTATTTAGTCATTCAGTTTTATATGTTATTATCAGTTTCTTTGTTAGTGGGTATATTTTTATTTAGTCATTCAGTTTTATATGTTATTATCAGTTTCTTTGTTAGTGGGTGTTAGTGGGGTGGTTAAGGAGGTTATTCATTTGTATGGGTAGTGGGTAGTTTTAGCTTTGCATTTAGTTGTTTAAAAGATTGTGATATCAGCAAAATGTAGGCAGGATTTTAAGAAAAGGTTTTGAGTTCCTTAAACTCAGAGATTGTAGAGTTCTCTACTGAGCTCTAGGAGATTGCAGATTCTCTCTAAGTCTGTCACCATACACAGAAGGAAGAAAACTCCTCCTAAGACATCCCATCTCAAACGTGATCCCCTAATTTGAAGATCCCATAACCAGATCCAAATTTGGGACCATAACAAAATTCCTCACTGCATTTTATTTATGTTGAAAATTGGAATTTCTTGATCATGTGATACAGGTGTATTACATTTGAGGAGGTTATGAATTTTTTCGTAATTTTTTTTTTTTAAATTTGCTTTTATCTGCTTAACCCAAGTTTAAAAATTTGTCAATGAATCAAAAAGTAAAAAGCTCATGCTCATGGTTTATTGTTATTTAGCATTTTGACTAGGTAATCTTAGACCCAGTAGAAAGTTAGAAACAAGAAAATATCATTTAGCCTCAATGTGGCTATAATTGGGCCTACTTGTTTATCTCCAATAGCACTCAATAACATTTTTTTCCCCTTGCCTCCACGGTTCAATTGTGGGGTTAAAATTAAATGGATTTCTTGTTTAAGATGACTAACCATAAGTGATATATATATATATTTTTTTTAAAATATCAAACCCTGGAATATCTTGTGAAAAATTCATTTGTGTTCGTTTTTTCTAAAATTGTGAAATGTAGTCATCAAATCATAAGATTTGCTACTACATTTCAGTCTCTGAGTGTCGAAGCTATAAAATGTGAACCACTTGAAACTTAGAAACACCTGAATTCCCAGGCTGTAAAAATTTAATATGGTTTGGTCTTCAAGATTGTGAGACAGTTTTGTCTTGCATATTTCAGGTGCTGTCATCATCTCTTTTTTTTTTTTTTTTTTTTTTTTTTTTTTTTTTTTTTTTTTTTTCTTTATTTTATTTTTTTTTTTTTTTTTTTTTTATTTTAAATTTGTGCATATTTTCGAGATAGAACACTTATTTTAGTTGAAACATTGCACTCTTTCTTTGCTTTTCTTTTTTTTTTTTTTTCTTAAATTACTCCTGAATTTGGTGACAAGTATGTAGTTTAATCATAATCATTGACTTTTTTCAAGATAGATGACTAAAAATTCCCAGCTTGAATAATAATAAAGAAGTTATTATCTGTCTTGTGAAACCTGTACATTAACTCCTATCTACAAACATTCTTAGGGTTTTTGATCAATTATATTTGTTGTTTTTATGTTATGTGAAGGGTAAAAAGTTTCTATTCTTCTTATGTAAAAAATGGTTACACATCTATTTATACATAAGAAGTATATGGAAATACCTATGCTACCCTTTACATTTAAGATTAAAAAATAGCACATAAAACTCTACTAGACAACACTCCCTCTCAAGTCCTTAATCTCAAACTCTTGAGCCAGTAATTTCTTCAGGCGAGCAACTTCTGTTTCATCATCTCCTATTACAACCATATCATCAACATAGACAATAAGTAATGTGATCTTACTACTACTGTGTCTGATAAATAGTGTATGATCAACATTACTCTGAGTGTAGCCAAAGGAGATCATGGCCCTACTAAGTCTGTCAAACCATGCCCTAGGTGACTGTTTGAGACCATATAAGGCCTTCTTCAACCTACAAAACTTTCCTTTGGTTTTCTGACAATCAAATCCAGGAGGGATATCCATGTAGACTTCATCTTCTAAATCTCCATGCAAAAGGGCATTGTTTACATCAAATTGATGTAACTCCCAGTTTAGATTAGCTGCACATGATAGAATGATTCTGATTTTGTTCATCTCTGCAATTGGAGCAAAGGTCTCTTGGTAATCAACACCATAAGTCTGAGCGTATCATTTAGCAACCAACCTAGCCTTGTACCTTTCGACTTAGCCATCTGCCCTATGCTTTACTATAAACACCCACTTACATCCCACTGGTTTCTTTTCTACTGAAGAAGTAACAAGATCCCAAGTTTCATTCTTTGCCAAAGCTTTCATCTCCTCCACCATTGCTTCCTTCCATTTTTGATCCTGATGCGCTTCTTGCCAATCCTGTGGAATAGAAACAGAAGAAACAAACAAGACAAAGGCTCTGTAGGAAGAAGACAAAAAGTCAGAGGAAACAAATTGAGAAATGGGATGTTTAGTACAAGATCTCACACCTTTCCTGGGAGCAATAGGAATATCAGTGTCATCGATAACAAGATTAACAACAGGGTCAGGATCAACACTATGTATTATAGAAGTTGTATCAGAAGTAGGGATAGTAGGAGTTATTGGAAGCTCACCGCATTGGTTTTCCGGACTTCATTGCAAGGAAGACGGTTGGGCATTGGGATCATGCACGTGGCACTAGTCTTCTCCCTTCTGCTGTATCTCTTTAAATCTGTCGTATCTAATCTCTCTTTTCTTCGAATCTGATGATCACCTCTGGGTTGTGATTCATCTATTTTTTGTACCTCTTCATCAATATTAACAAGGTTCATAAATTGTTCCGGTACAGATACAGACATAGGAGTCATTCCTATTCCTACTTCCTCTTCTTTCATCCTAGTCTCCCCATGAAGAGGAGTGGGGGGAAATAAGGTTCAGACTCTCTAAAGGTAACCATATAATTTTTGTTTCCCTGGTACAGATACAGACACTGGAGTTCATTCCTTTATTTCCTACTTCCTCTTCTTCATCCTAGTCTCCCCATGAAGAGGCAGTGGCGGGGAAATAAGGTTCAGACTCTCCTTAAATGGTAACGTCCATACTCACATAATATTTTCGAGATGCCGAGCGGTGTATAGGCGACTCGGTGGTTTATATCCCCTTTGTCTGCTGAAACTATAACCATACAAAACACACATTTCAAAGCCTCTAAGTTCTAATTTTCCTTCGCATGTCTGTGAATGAATGCAAAAACACCATACAACAAGACTTTTGGTGCTGGAACAGTATATGAAGTATGTCCTTGTACGGCTTCTATAAGGACTCTTTAAAGTTACATTAATGTTCGCGATAGGGGGGCATTCTATTAATTAGATATGCTGCCCAGAAAGAACAACATTCTACCCAATAGGTTTTAGGCACATTCTATGTTAAGACAAGGAGAGACCTCAGTCACTTCTAACCAAATGTCTATGCTTCCTTTCTGAAAGATACCTCATTTTGCAGCACTTGTTTACTGTTCGCACAACTAGTTTTGATGTATGATTCCCTTGGAATCTAAATATGCCATTGTGTGGAAAGCGTATGTCTCCATGTACCTCTGTTCCATTATTCAGTTCGTTAATATTTAACATTGGCACCAAATTGTGTATCTAATCGTCATATTATGAAAAGGTATTGAAAACCAAAGAAAAACACTTCACTCTTGTTCTTCTCCAACAAACCAAACCCCGAAAGGTCTAATCAAACCTTACAACAATATCAATAAATGTAACACAAATCACCCTGATATCCAGATTATGAAAACAGTAGAAGTTAGATCCCCATACATCAAGAAATGAATAGTCATAAAGAAGGATAACAAAATCCATTAATTTTTTTATCTATGGGAAACATAAGTGTTTCTTGCATGCTCAATTTCACGCAGTTTCTACAAGCACTACAAAAACTAGAGGAAACCCTAACAGACATTGGCATAAACTAGTTAGGATATTAACCCTTTTGAAGAACAACAAAGAAGGATGTCCAACCTCCTATGCCCCACATAATAGCCTATTTACTAGTTGACTTACATTTCCTTAACAGCTGCATTGGGGAACTTTTGAGTACTTTGATTAGGCCATGGCTACTCCTTCTCAAGGAGATATTAGGCCATCAGTGCAACTCTATACCTATAATTCAATTCATTTCCATCTCTGCTTCTTGCCAGATTTCCTGCTAAAACGATATAATGAGTCGCCGAAAGTACTTCAACTTGTAGGTAGGGCCTAATAAGGTTCAGACTCTCTAAAGGTAACGTCCATACTC